AACGACCTAATAAAAAAACCCCGACCAATCGCCCCCCCCCCCCTGCCCCCAATACACAATTGCTTTCTACGGTAGTGAATAAACCGTAAATAAATTTACAATTAACAAAAGAGAAATCAACAAACGCAGATTAGCGTCAGATAAAGATTAGATTAGATTAGAGTTAGATTACAATTAAGATTATGTTAGGGTTAGGGTTATAGGACTTAGGAGACTTACTTCTGTCCCAACTTGAGATCGCGTGCCTAAAATTCAGTAATAATTAGTTCTTTAAATTGCCCAGAGCATCGTTGAAATTGTGGACCCCTTACAGTAGCTCCCCATGCAATCTACCTGAGTTCTAGTTGGGTGACTGACTTTGGTCTATCCATTGGGTCTAGCATAAAAATAATGATGGCATGAGCCACCAAAGAAGACCGTACCAGCTTATAAACAACGCAAAAAATGGGGCCTGCGAATTCACTCGGCTGCCGTGGGTATGTTACTGCACATTTAAATGCTATACCTATCAAGTATTATTTCGGCATCCGCCAAACGGATCCATGGTCCAGTATTACAATGATCTACAACATCATTGTCATTGATTCATATTAAATATTGTCATTTAATACTTTGGTCGTAACTTCGTAACATCAGTGTAAATAAATCAAGCTCGGCAATTCAAGGCCAAATCAAGGCCAAAATCAAGGCCAAATCAAGGCCAAATCAAGGTCTTTCGTCGGCATTATACAAAAAAGGCGGACATCTTCCTACTTCGAGGCATTCCCGCCCAGCAGGTGACTTTTCATCCAACGTTCCCTACCGCATGCTGAGGCTGCGAGGCAAGTGTAGAACTTGTATTTGTATAAAAGAGACGGTTACAGGTAAACCACGTGAAGCGTTCCTCTTTTAAGTTCCTAACTTGGTTGCAATTTTCCTCATTACCTTAGTAAATTTGAAAAACTCCCTTGCAAATCCCTCGAAGGAATTTGCAGTGTTCTTAAAAGCCAAATAAATTTTCCTCAGTTCCTGATAAAAGTTCTTAACTTCCTGTTACAAGTTCATAACTTCCTGTCCTGTTTTGCGCGTTGTAATTGGCTAACAAAAATAATCCGCCAATGATAACGCTCAGAACAGAACAGGAAGTCAGGAAATTAAAACAGGAAGTTAGAGAAATTTGAAAGGAACTTTTTTGCGTTGGAATATTACAACGGTCGACAGGAAAATTGCAAATTCCTACAAGGATTTGCAAAGAGTTTTTCAAATTTGCAAAGTTAATCATGAAAATTCCAAATGAGTTAGGAACCCAAAAGAGGAACGCTTCACGTAGTTTACATGTAATATTATTAGGGAGTTTCAATGAAAAAATTACATAGTGACATTATGTGACATGTTTCCACTTTTTGTGTAAAAATAGGAAATTTAACGTGCCACATCATAAAACGAACAGATTTAGGACGGTTTTATCACTTATTCCACTAATAAGTTTTCTGAATAACTTAGAAACTGTTTTTACAATGAATATGCTGGTTTTTTAACCTGATTTAAATTATATATAGCACTAGAGGGTGTTTAATAACAAATTATAAGTTTGCGCATATGTGTATGTGAATGAGTATTTTCAAGAATTTTAGTCTAATCTTATTCATTTTCTTAAAGAAAATACTTGTAAAAATTAGTTTATCTTTGATATTTCTTAATATCTTTGTAAACCTAACATATTTCAGCAGTGGAATTAGATATATTCTGGAGCTGTAAGTTTAGTGTCAAATGAACTATCAAACTTAACTTAACTTAACGAATTGTACGAATATAGCATTTAACGACATGCAATTATAGCATGTATACTTGTGGTGTGCACATTTTGTATAGAACTCTAATTGAGAAATTAAATTGGTGTATAAGTTAACTGATCATGTGATACGTTATGGTTCTTGTGGGTATAAGCACAGAATAGATACCAGACCTATTCCAGTCCAATATCTATTCTGTGGTATAAGTTTTAAATGATTAAAATTGTTACATTAATTCCATTGATAATTGTTTTTGTTTGTGGAAACACCACGTAAATTTATTACTGCAAAGCTTTCGATCCGTAAGCCCGGATCTTCATCAGTGCTAATAATATGTGACTTGTTTAATTCACACGCTTTTTTTATATACAAGAGTGTCGTGATCTGTTGGGTCGCGTCATTTGAAATTTAATTAAACGGCACATCAACCACGTCATTTCAAACGTAGTGAAGTGATTCCAATTAACGCGCGCGCATCCAAGACAAGAGAAATTAAAGAGAGCCCGCCAAGTACTATCTACTGGCTTTCCTTCCTGATCTATAGTATTGTGCTTCTCGATTTCAATTGCCTCTCTCATTTTGCGAGAGAACTTATGACTATCAATCGCCAAAATGGTTGCTTCGTCCCATTTTATACGATGGTCGTAAGTCCAAGTATGTTTAGCCACAGCAGATTTATCTTGCTCGGCTTTCTCGCAATTCGTCTTGTGTTCCTTAAGACGTACTGAGAGATTTCGACCAGTTTCACCAATGTAAACCAGACCACATTCACAAGGAATGCGATACATACCAGGTTTCTGAGATTCATTTATACGTTGTCCTTATATGTGTGCAAAGAGCTCGAAACAATTTGTTTTCTCTGGAATGGTATACCTTTATACCTGCTTCATTCTTCAAAATTCTTTCGAATTCTTTCATTAACCGAGCGAAAACAATTTGTGAGGTAAGTAACATTGACGGTGAATTAGAACATTTAAGAAATGTTCTAAAAATGAATGGTTACCCACGGTATTTCATAGATAATGCTATGAAAACGCCACAAAGTATACGGCAGAAGATTGAATATCAGTCGTCTGTTTGTCTACCATACATTGGTCCGGCTTCACACAAAATCGAAAGAATTTTGAGGAATGAAGCAGGTATAAAGGTATAGCATTCCAGCGAAAACAAATTGTTTCGAGCTCTTTGCACACATAAGGACAACGTAAATGAATCTCAGAAACCTGGTGTGTACCGCATTCCTTGTGAATGTGGTCTGGTTTACATTGGTGAAACTGGTCGAAATCTCTCAGTACGTCTCAAGGAACACTCACGACGTTTAAGGCATGACATGAAAATTAAATTTTACCCCCCGCGGTCGCCACTGCCCGCGCGCTTCGTGTTCGTGGATTGTGCGTGGATCATGCGTGACGGCTTCGAGTGGTCGCTTGTTACACTGGCCTGTAGGCCAAGTGTCTTAAATCCCTCTTTTTCTGTTTTCTGTTTTCGACGAGAAATGGAGTTTGCGTTAGGTCATCGCAGGCTCAGGGTGCAACGTGCTCCAGTGACATATTCAGTTCAGTTTCAAAATGGCGGCTTTTCACTGAGCGATCTAATATATATTTCACACAGTTTCGTTGAATTTTCAAAGAATTGTGCCGGTTTCCTATGGCATTTTATAATAATATAGTGTATGCGGCCAAATATGTACATATAAAACAATGTAAATCTATTAAATTGGTACATTATATCATTTTTAACCATATAAGCGCGCTCGTGTTTTAATGACAATGCATAGATGAATTGGCAGTAAATATTACGTACGTTCTTACTTTATATCAATACGACAATCTTCACAAATGATGTTTGTATTCCCCATTATATTGTATTATAAAAATACACAATCGTCAATCGAGTCTGTTCACATGCATTTCGTGACCTAAAATATCTTAGCAAAAGCCAGAAATTATATCAAAATGACATTGGGCTTCTGCACTCGTTGATTTCCATATTCATAACTTGAGTAATCTCGACAGAATTAGTAAAAAGTTGGTTTAGTCACGCGGAAAGCTCGCATGTATTAATAGACTAAGACAATACAAGGCCAACTCCTTCCATTTCGTGAGAGCAGGACTTCGCATTTGTAAACAGTCGGTTTGAACATGCGCAGACCTAATTATCTAATCAGAAACGACGATTACTTGTATGAATTTACTACGAAATTTGAAAATTAATGGAAGGACTGAAACACGAGTCGCGTGTAAATCAATGCAGAATTGCAGTTGCTAGGTAACAGACACGGCAAGCTGTAAAATTGCGTAAATATAATAGTATGCGAAAACCTTTTTAAGAAATAACAACGAAAAAGACGAGAAAATGAGACAAAATAACAATATGATAATGATGAAATTTTAAAGCTTCAAGATAAATAAAGCAATATATGTTTTAGTAAGGAAATTTGGGGAAATTTTTAGTCCTGCTGGGCAGGACAAGCAGGACCGCTAGCTACGCCACTGAGCCTAATAACAAAAAAATCATGATCATGATATCGTCAAAATACGTAACGCGAAAGATTGGGATGTTTGTCCAGAATCAAATTGAGGAATATAAAGGTAATTCAATTAAGATCTATGTGGGGCACAACTTTGATCAGTCAACACTAGCTACAATCATCGATACATTATTCATGGTAAAATTAACTATTGTTCAACGGTATGGTCTAATACGTCAGACAGCAAAATAAAAAAAGATTCAATTAATCCAAAATTGCGCAGCCCGATTAATCACAGGGGTGCCTAAGAATGATCATATATCTCCGATCCGACATTAAACGCGTTAGGATGGTTGTCAATCAAAGAACATCTATTGCACAGAGATGCGTTATTAACATTTAAATGCATAAATGACAAAGCTCCACAGTATTTATGTGATAATTTTGAGCAACAAAATAGAATTCATAATCGAGATACTAGAACAAATGGAGACCTGGATATTCCAAAATTTAGGACATCGATCGGTCAAAGATCGTTCAAATACCGAGCACGTCGGGCACGCGTGCTCGCAAAAGTTGTGAGATGATCGAAGTTCGTCAGCGGTAATTCACTGAATACTTAGTGTAAATTAAAATTTCTGATTTCCCGATGAGACACGTAATGGCTGCTATTTTGCCATTTGAAACTGTTCTGAAAGAAATATATTTGAATAACAATGATTCAGAATTATCCCCGAATCGTCCGCTTTACTCCAGTAGCGACGAAGAAGAGCCAAAATATGATTTCATTGGAGAAGCTGTCAATATTTTCGCCACTTGTGATGAGGTAGGTCAAAATAAGGTGCATTTTGCTCACGAAGCAAGGAAATACTTGAATGAACTCTACAGGCTGCATGTCAAAGGAAGCGAAACTTTAACAATGAGCCGTTCATTGCTGAAAACTGGAGCCATTTTAAAAGACGAAGCTCGTACTTGGTTGGGTTACATTCACAGGAGGTTAATCGCGAGGCCACGGATACGAAAACCATGGTATTTTGAATTTACAAGAGATATCTCCAAGGAAATTTTCTTAGCACTCAAAGATGCACTCAGGTCTACAAACAATCCAAATTTGCTGACCGACATTAACATGGATGGCAAATTGGCAATCGGAAAGCCTTCGTTATTAGTGTGACTTCACTGGCCCGTGTTGTACGTTTATTTACAGAATTAACTGAATTTAGCAATAGAAATGTTAAATCATATCTTGCGAGGAAAGTGACCAGATCGAAAGGCATAGCAAAAGTCATTGTTTCTGATGTTAAGGATTTTGCGTTGGTGTATAAATTTGCCAAAAGACAATTAAGTATTAACTGCCACTATGGATTCTGGAATACTTATGGTTTCCCTCAGCATGACTAAACAGTCTATAATGTCATGTCTTGAACAAGTATTATATATAGTTTTATTTTAACCTGTTACTGTTTACAAAATCTACGTACTGTATGACATCCTGCCTAGTCGAAATGGCCTGATTATATGATATGTCCACATTCAGCACAATTTTTGTAGCAGTGATCCTGCTACCGAGTGGAAATGATACTGAACTGAATTGCACAAGCCGCCAGGATCCCATAGAACAAGCTGTTGATTAATTCTGGCAAGCAGGGTCATATAAACAGGCCATTATAAGATATAACGTCCAGAGAAATAGAGACAGTAGAATATTATTAATGTTTATTTATAAGGCCACACATTACACAATCGATGTAATTATTATATGTATAATAATAACATTGTTTATGCAAGAACCTCATGTATATTCAAAAAACTTTGCTTTGTTTATTTGTAGCCCATTGAGTCGCATTGAACCCTGGTGCGCCCTACCTTAGTATTTTACTCTATCTAACGCCAGACGATTTTACTCGTTAAGGGGAGAGCGCTGGCGTTTAATGAGTTAACTGGCCTATCTGCCCATGTGTCTAGTTAACCCATTGAGTTCCATTGCACCCTGATGCACCCTACCTTAGTATTTTACACTGTCTAACGCCAGATGATTTTACTCGTCAAGGGGAGAGCACTGGCGCTTAATGGGGTAGTATATGTGAAACACCACGAAATCTTGATTAACCACTAAGTTTATCTGTTTAACCAAACATCTAATTTTATATCTTGATCAAACGCACTGTAAGTTTTGTCTATTTATCCGGTCCTCGCCTATTTCCAGATCGAATAGAGAAGGGCTCAAAACATTGAGAATTTGTATGATTTATATATCTTTCAGGTCATCAGATTATTTACCGCTCCCTCTGTAGCAATAAAATTACAAAGTGATACTGAGCATGGCATTATAGTCAATTGTAGTAATGAAATATATGTCCCTCAAGCCTTGGAAGGTACGTTAGGAAAAATCTCTCGAGTAAACTTTTATCAAATCTTCCTTGACTTCCGGATACAATTAATTAACACTAATCGACCTGAATGCTATGCTACAGTATCACTTATAATGATAGAGAAAAGTAATAGATAAGCTGCCTTCTTACCAATTTCATCTTTTTGATATCTTTTATCAGCACAAATAAAAGATGATGTGAAATGTACAAGTGCAATGTACAATGTAAATGTACTATATTCACCCCATGATCAGTTCGTCAATTACATAGATATGACATCGACTTTATCCCCCCCCCCTCCCCCTGCATACAAAGATTACAATTTTAATAACATTTTTTGTTTATTCCTGTTAATAAATACATGTTTAAAAGAGTGAATAAAAGTGTCACTTACATCATTTATAAAACATACAAAAATATACATATATATATAAATATATATACATAATTAAATAAAAATAATATACAAATATATTATTAATAACTTAACAACTTTCAATAAATACTTCATAACAAATAATTTACATGTTTAAATATGTAACATTTTACCACTCAGATAGAAGTGAATGACACTCACATACAAAAGTTATAACAAACATTTGTCGACAGTTAAGTTTCCTAGCTTACACGATAACTCAATTGACTTTCTGTAACGGTGAGAACAATAGCCACAAGAACTAACCCCAACTTCCTTCCAACAGCCACACTCACAAAAACCATCAAGACCAACCCTTTTAGGAACATACTTTTCCTTGGAAACAGCATAATTACTTAAGTTATACCCTCTTTCCCTTAGCCATATTATAGAAATGTACTCATGGCGGAAAATGAGCTGCCACCGATTGCCATAAGTGCTATTTTTTGCATATCGGGAGATTGCGATATGTTTTGCCTCACGCCCCTCCATGGAGTTTACCGCAAGTCCCTTTCCGTACTTGGACTTTACGTCTTGAGTATGGACAGGTATTACATGGCCTACAGTCCATATGTCCAGTCCGTGCTCTGTAGTAATTCATACAAAAATTAGTCAAATCTTGAATCTCACTAGCAGAGATGGTCATTCTACTAAACAAAGAAACCGAATTCCTAAGTTGCAGGGCAATATAGGCAAAAACATGTATCCGAAACTTTTGTCTCAGTGTATCTGCAGGTGATTCCAGAGACTCAGACACTAGGTACATAAAATTATAGAGAAACATCCTGGAATCCCTCCCAGTGAACCTATAATTGAACTCTTTGCTTTTTGCCTTTGTCTCATTGAACCAATGAATAATTTTGTTTGCTAAACGAGAAAGCTGGCACTTATGTTTCAACACATATATAAACTTATAAAATGCAGAACTACTTGGTACCGCTTTAAAGTTGGATATATTATCACCAAGAGCAGATTTACCAATTGCTTCACAAAGCATCTGCTTGTGAATCAATTGACAGGCATTATTATTTACATGCAAAGGGTCAGCATGGGCCCTATCAATGAGCCTGCCAATTGGTGGGTCAAACTCTTGCCTACTCTTACATTCTGCAATAAACGCTGTGATTTTGCTACGCGCAGTCTGCTCTGTTACTGGCTTTTTAGTCAACTTTGTTTTGAAAACGCGAACGTGGTTATAGCTATAGATAATCATTGCTTATAATCCCACGGTTTCCATGCATTTGTTGGGGCTGGGCCAAAGGTTTTACTTACATCATGAACATCATCATTGCAAACATTGCCAAAAGTTGAAAAGTACTTTGCACTATTTGGGAGCTCCCCTGCTAGATATGCCAACATTTTCATGTCATTGGGAAACTCTGCAAATTTAAACTTGATCACCATATTATTAATGTTAAAATAATGAAGCCTTTTCAATTTCCTCAATCTCTTTAGTTATCATTGAAATATACTTGGCAACTGCTGGGCTTGTGTCACTACAATTGCTACCAAAGATAAGGAAATTTTCCTCGCTGCTTAAAATCTTATGACCGATGTTGAGAAAGCTAACTAACCAATTTTTGAAATCTAGGACCTCGGAAATGCGATTTCCTGCGTTCTGAGCGAACTCTTTTGTTCCAATTCATATATCAGAGTCACAAAAATTTTGCTGCATTTTTGGAAAAACACGTAAAAAACTTGAACATATATCGCAAAAACAACATAATTTCTCCATATAAGAAAAAAAAAATTGCTTATACAAGTGTAATAGCAGCAGTGGCAATAAGTCTCTATTTAACAATTAGACAACGAAGCCGAGTTGTCTATGAGCGAATAGTCAACGAGGCGAAGCCGAGTTGACTATTCGTTCAGAGACAACGAGGCTGAGTTGTCTAATTGTTTTAGTATAAACCACATAAAGAAAACGGAATTTTTCACTTGATTTTTATGTAAAATAATAACGTTTTAACGAAATGAGCATTTAAATGGCTTCCTTGGCTTTGGCAACATTTCGCCTCGGCTTTGTTGAGAACTACTAAGTGTTGCGAACTCCCAAGAATGACTTGAAAAATACAACTTGTGAGTTTTAAAAAAGTTTAAAAATATGTCATAAAACAGCATAATAGTAAGAGACCGTTATAGAAGCAAAGTTTGGTTAATTATAACTTATTTAAAAGAAGGAAACAAGGCTTAAAAAGTCAAAAATTTCGAACACAAAATGGCTTCCCGAATTGTTACTAAATTAGTAAATAAAGTTTACGTCGTTAAAAAGCCGAATAAAAATGCACACACATTATCCGAATGTCTTTGAAATCTTTAACACATCTGGAACATAAAGAGGCAAACCATTTCCATAATCTAGTATACATAGACAATAGTTTAGATTAAAATTTAATCGAAAAACTCGACTTAAAAACTAAAAAAGGCTCGAAAAGGCGAAAAACAAACTCGGCCAAAATCTCAACATTTAAACGAAAAAAACTCTTTAAAATGACAGCTACATACATGAACTCGTATTTAACACAAGCATATACTAAAGAGGTTGAGAAAATAGGGGTAAATAGCTACAAAGTGTTGTTGAATTTCAACGATTCTGCTTGAAATATTAACAAACATTGTGCACATTTTAAAAAATCGCCTGTCACTTTCATGTTCAAAACTACGAGCAAAGTTGAGAAAACTTAAAAATTTTACCGCATGTGTCAGCCGTTTCCAAGAGTCTTTGTTTGTGTGTAATCCAGAACCAAAATTAGGCCATTTTGATAAGCTTTTTCCCTTTTTATACAGCTTTTAATGCTTAAAAACGGCCATTGACTCTTGCGCCCTTCGCCGCTGTTGCTACTAGTAGGCTATCACTAATAGCCTACTAGTAGCGTAGCCAATCAGAACGCACGATACATGATAGCCTACTAGTAGGTTTATACTAATAAAAAATAGTTAGTACTGTGCTTCTTGTAGCCTTAGCTTTTCTATTGAAAAACATTTCGGCAGAAAATCACGACAACGCAAATACACACATACTGTGTAACAAAGGTGTATACAGTGTGCTCCGCTAGTTGCATTGCTGGACTCAGAAGACAATGTTATTATGTTGTTTATGAAATCTTCTAGCATTAGAATTTAAAGTAAAATAAAATAAGGTGCATAAAGGTATTTTGTGCTTTACTGGGTAAATATATGCAGCTCTGTCTTATGCTGCTAATGTTACTCTGTATGGACAGTGTGGTTGGCATCAGTTGGTCAATTTCACTTGCCCCTAGGTGCCTTTGATATGAACTGCATGGTGAACAGCCCACACTCTGAATACTGAGAATATTGCCTTGTGGCGAGGAAACCAGTAAACTAACACACAACAAACACTGGGTTTAAAATTATATAAATATATAACTAGGTACACACACAACCACATGTTTTAAATCAATAGTGACTGTGTGTAAATTAATTAATGAAGCTATCTTAGTTGGAAATTGTTTGTTAAATAAACCAATACCAAACTGTACAATGATAAACATGACATAATTTAATCATATGTCTTCTATCTGTCCCCTTTTGCCTGTCTTTCAACTAATATTAATACAGTACTCCTTTAAGAAAGGCTGCACAATAGTATTGATGAATATTTAATTTTCCCTATGTTATTATATAAATGCACATCTTGTCAAATATATCCATACACTTATCAATGGTAATCGTAATCCTCAGGGTGGCATGCTGGCTATCCAAAACATAATACTGGGATAATTTGCATTACAAATATATAATTTAATTAAATATATTTTCCAAACTATCCCACTTTTGTGAGCAAATTTCATAATTATAACCTGTATACACCAGTTACAGTATATACAGTATTTATACCGTCCATCATTTTATCATTGATTCTAAGATTAAATCTGTCAGGAGAATGTCATATGATATATACAGCTTATATCAAATTATATTTGCACAGACAAAGCATATAAACACTCAACTATGGTAGGCGAGCAATCCCAGGTTATCATCTTTGTTTGCAAAATATCCAGCTACAGTAGTGTACAGTAATTGCCCAATAATTCAGGAAATGCAAAGTAAGACCCTGTCACAAGGCATGCCAGCTCATTTCCACATAAAATGAAAATGAAATGAAATAGGTGATACCACTGGAAGTTGCAACTTGAAACAATTACCTTTCATGTAAACTCCCCTTTAGTCTTCTACTGTAACCAATGTTGCATTACTATTAGAAATCTCATTAACCTGCAATTATGCTCTGTAATTACATACAGAGACTGATGCAAGTCTTGATCCATTCAGAGTTACTTTCCACCCACACTATAGTTTTATTTTTGGTATCCAATCAAAATGTGCCAGAAGAAATGTCAATTTCACATAATAACAACAAGCTAAATATAGTTACAATCACTAAATATATCATTATTTAATTTATATAGCATTAACCAATTATCAAAACAATACATTAAATATGGCATGAATACTCATGCCAGAAATAGCCAATCGGAGTTACAACCATGAACCATAAAGGCAGTTGTAGGACACAAACATTTAATATTAACATGTGTATCATAGGCTTCATTTTTCTTTGCCCGCCAGCTGTGAGAAAAATGAAGGTCTGGGCAAAGGATAATCCCATGTAAACAGAGATGAAATTTGCCTCAGTAACGCAAGCTGTCAAGTTTTGTATTGGGGCTAGTTTGCCTCCTGAGAAGCAAACCTCTGTAAAATGTCAAACTCTCCCCACTCCCCCCCACCCTCCCCCCACACTAAACATCTTTCTGGTCTTTCTAAAACATAGAGCAACAACAGTAATAGACACAAACTGTAATTATTTTATTATTACATACAAATCTATATTAATTGTGGACCCTATTTTCCACTTTAATTTATACACACTTCTTGAACTGAACAATTTATAAATATACTACCATTTGTAAAAATGTAGAGAAATTTAACTTACTTTAGAGCCCTCGGTTCGATCGAGTTTCACATCGTGGGCATAAGACTCCTTCCATTTTTCCACTTGGTAGTAATTGGTTCGACTGTAAATTATTTGTTATCCGTCAATTTCGAGGGATTTCTCTTCGCATTATTTGTCATTTGCATAATTATAGTGTTTGCATATCCAAATATCCTTTCCGCCATGACTTGAATCGAATGCCTCGTTACGTCACAGTAGATTTGATTTTGCAATTTGCACCGATGCGAGCGCCCGCAATCTGCATGCAATGCATCGCTCAGCGGCCAAATCTAACGTGACTTAGGGCTCTAAAACAATAGATTTGATGATGTCACGTTAGATTTCACGCGGAAAAGGACTCGGGACCGATGCATTAACTGATGCAAAATGGATGCCAGTGATGCCAAATCGAATCTAACGTGACGTAGGTGATGCATTTTGCTTCAACTGTGACGTCAAAGGATGCGGTAAAAAATAACATATTTTGTCGCAAAAATATTGACGCTTAAGTGTCGCAAAATAACAGAAAGTACACATTTGCGATCGCAAGGTCGCATATTGGATTTATTTTGACAATTTCGACTGTTATTGAGACTATTTAAATTGGATTTCATCCTAAATAGTGTATTCCTGACATGGAGTCAATTTTAAGCAAAGATTTGAGGGTTGATAGCAGATATTTTATTACTGAGTGCTTTGACTATTGGCGACATTATATATCTATATATTTCAAGCAACATGAATCATGATTTCTCAATTTTGATCGATGCATTCGCATCGCTGGCATCGGTCTGGATCCGCCCCTGCATCCCCACCAATAGCAACCTGAAAGGTATAAGGCTCATTAAACCAATCTATATCAGATGCAGGTAAGGCAGAAAGATAAAATAGTGCCAACCTTGGAAGAAACTCAATCTATTTCTTATAACAACCACCCACCTTTTCTCCACACTCTAAATCATCACACAAAGTATCGCGAACACTATACAGCGTTCCTATTTCAATTTCATTGAGCATAGAAGCAAGCTTGTTGTAAGGAAGTAGTCTAGGCAGTGGGTTTGACAGAACTTTAATACGAGTGGTTTTACTTTTTCCATTTGGGCTTCTCATCATGGACAAACATCTATAGGTTGATCTATATTTTCTCTTGTCCATCACTCCTTTACTGTAATAAACTCCAATACTTCGGAGTTTATTTGCCTCTGATTGTTCAAAGTTATCTGAAGCAGTCTTAAATATCACAGAAAATACATTTTTAAATTTCTTACTAGTCGACATAAACTTGACAAGAACTTCCTGTGAGCACTTCTTTTCCACTGTATCCAAAAGACCAACTAAAGTAGGTAAGGGATTTTCGGGGGATGCCACATGGATTTCTGAAGCAGCATCAAATGTTTCTGTTCTTCGTCTTGCCATTGCCTGTGCAGATAACCCTGGTTTATCATTAGAACTTAGAACAGTTGGATTACCACATCTTGCTTTTGCATTTTTTTCAGAAAGGAATGTCGTTTTCTTCTTTTTGGCAGGTGGAGTGAGCAATTCAGGTTGGGGGTCACCGCTGACTATTTGTCTTTCTTCTGAGACCTCCTCAATCTGCAGGAAATGTAAAGTAATATTGTAATATATATGATGTACATGATGTAATGGTGACAGATGATTTTACTCGTCATGAGGAGAGTCTTGCAACTTAATGGGTTAATTTACGAATCTGAAAATTTCTCCTTGTAAACCCATTGAGTACTGATGTCTCTAATGCACCTGTCATGACCCTTCTACTCTGTCTAATACAAGACAACATGCCAAGGGGAGTCATGCAGCTTAATGGCTTAATTCCTGGTGGGTTATTCAATCTTAATATAAAGCATAACTTCCTGCTACATGAATCTTGGTAACAATGTAAATTTTTGTACAAATGAGCCCTTAATATAAACGTGAAAACTTTCTATGAAGACCCTGAATAGCAGTTTATAATAAATTTGCCTAGATACACCTCCCAATATGAATGGGAAAAAAAGCATTTTACATGCACTTACCCTGTATATAAGCCTGTCTAATTTCTTCGCAAGTGTCTTGGGTGCTAATGCAGTCTCTTTTCTTAAGCGTTTCTTCTCTTGCATATAAGTGGCAACATCAAATCGACTGTACAATTTAGCCTTTCTTCTTGCCATAGTAAGTCATAGGCTAGAAACTAAAAATGGCGTAGTAATGAAAACTATGTTTCAAATAAAGCCGTCATAAGACGAAATAACGCACGTAATAAAAATAATAAAAACATAGGATTCTTACCTGATAGTGTTTTGTTGATATAGAAAATATTTAGTAACCATTACACAAATATGAATCAAGTTATATGAAGCCAAATCCTCTCAATTTTGACAACTCGGACTCGGAGTGGCAAAACTGTCGATAATAGCTTTAAATTTTCAGCACAAAAGTACCGATAACATTAAAGTATTTGGTATCAGATTAATCTTTGAGACTTCTAGAATCGAACAATGGCTGCCAAATTTTACATGAACGAAAATTTCCCTGTTGCTAGGCACCCAAAGATCAGCTTAAAACACAACATGACTAGGGCCAATTCCCTTGCTTGCGCGGCGCAAAAATTCGAACACGCGCGTGCTTGCAACTTTCGCGGGCACGCGTGCCCGACGTAGAGGGACTAAGATATGGAATGGTATAGATAGGCCTATAGAGCTGAAATCAGTTAGTGATTTGAACAATTTTAAAGGAGCAGTGTCACCGTATGCGCATCTGTTCTGCGCATAGCAAACTTGAAAACGTACAGGCTGTACGTTTTCAAGTTTATGATTCAAGATGGCGGCCATTAGCGAGTGAGCGCATTGCAAGAGAGGCAAAAATTTCGGCACATAGATGTAAATACAAGGCTGATGAAACTCTAAAAATACTGGAATAGACATCATAAAAGCTTATACCGATTCATGAATATATTTGAGGCAAAAAGCATGATAAATCGGGACGAAAATGGAGGCTTGATAAAGTTCACGAAGCGATAGCAATTTCGCTGTCCATTTTCTGTGGTTCAAATGTCGTAAGAGGTAAAATAATTGAATTCATAAATATGCTAAATCAATTTAGAAATATATAGCATAGGTGTAGCGATTTCAGGCATTCGTAGTAACAACAGCAAACGACTTAGAGCCTCAGACAAATCATATAGTCCGGGCGAACTAACTTTGCTGCAATCTGGCAGTGCTCAAGATAACTGACCGCATCTATGAATATAAACGGTAAGGAAAATACCAAAATGATAAATGTAGAACAAGTCATTAATATTCTTCGTGAAGTCGGACCGTAAATGTAGAACAAGTCATTAATATTCTTCATGAAGACTGACCAAAAATATAGTTCAGTATTAGGAAATATTCATACGTTGTATAAATTCTTACTGTGTATATTGGAGAATGCCAGATGTTCATGGCATGTTATGTAGCTCACTTTACCGAACGTTGGGAATGAAGAATCCAATTGATACCTTGGAAATATATAGCATAGGTGTAGCGTCAGTAGCGATTTTATGCATTCGTAGCAACAGCAGCGAATGACTTTATAGAGCCTCAGACAAATCGTAGTAGAACTATAAACTTTACTGCTATCAGGCAGTGCTCTTTCTATGATTATCAGATTATGGTGTGCATCTATGAATATAGAATATATATAAACAGCAAAGACAGGCACAAAATGATAAATGTTGAACGAAACATGTATGAATATTCTTTGAATTTATATGAAGACCAACCAGAAATATACAATCTAATAGCAGAATATTTTCATAATTATGATTGTAAATAATTACATATTGGCCATTCGACAAGTTATGTTGTTAATAGGGAGTGTAACAGGAAAGCAAGCCCGTGTGGGATATCCAAGCTAGCTTGCTTTAAAATGACAAGTTACATGCACCTTTAATATATCATTGTTTATTGATTGTTTAGCCTTGATATTATTACTGACTATTTAGGCAAAGTGTTTAACCTACTCAGTAGGCAGGCTGAGGCTCGCCCACATATAGTAATACTCACTTGTTTTGTTATTGTTTTCACTTCCATGGCAAAAGCATGGTGGAATGATTTGGTTACCAGAAAATATCATGCAAGGACCAGCCGATGAGATGTCAGAGTGCCATAAGTGCTGACGTCCAGAATTTGAAAAGGCCGGCCCATTTGGATTTTGCCCTAAATAGTATCTGTATTACCCAATGACTAGGAAGACACCAGGGTATTGCAGAAAGCAGCCTATGAACAGTTCACTCAACATGGTCATTTGGCAAGTGGACTAGGTAAGGCTGTCCTCATACAACTAAAGGTTTATTTATTGCAATAACTATTAATACACAATTAATTTTATATTCAGCATGTATTTGTACAAAAATTATATTGAGTTACTGATATATTAATTGATGTTCCAAGGATTGCATTTGCTTGTCCGATCTCAAATCATTTTATCATTTACAAAATAATCACTCCCATCATCTGATGGTCATTTTAGTTTTCAAAATTTTTTCTGCTGGTCATATAGAGCAATTTCCTGGCACTATCATATTTGATGTATTTTTTAATATAGATAAAATAAAGTGTTTGGGAATATTTTACTTGGTTGTACTGTAATATAGACTAAATAAAGTTGATGTTTCTCAGTCTGTGGTTGATTTATTGTGTCGTAATTACTATCCGTGACATTGTACTGCAAGACGTCCAGTTATTCTTTGACAATAGACCTTGTGCAAGATGATGTCACAAGGCTTGATGCCCGTGAGGAATGCTGGTCTTAGTAGTCATCGCCCGGAAAAATTAAACAATTCAAAATGGCCACTATTGAAATTTTCCTGCGCGATGACTACTAAGCCCAGCATTCCTTGCGGGCATTAAAGCCTTGTGATGTCATTGTGCATAATATCTATTCTGGTCTTCTATAATTCCCAATTTCTTCTGTAGTTGTTAGTTGTGAGTGTGCAATAGTTGAGTAAATTCAGCACAGCTAGAACCTGAGCACCATTGCCTCCCTGGGTTATACAGGTATGTTCCATATTATCTGACCTTGCTTTTACCTAACAGAAGGTTAAGGATTGAAAAATAATAAATAAATAGGTGGGTATTTGTAGGCAATATTTTTCAGGCTATTTTTTATCACATATGTACATATTAGTAATATCACCACTGCTCCCTTTTCAATGTTAGTGTTCTGGTTAGCACTTTTAATCATGCCAGGTCTACTGAGACCAAACTGAATAGCCACAAAATTGAAAAGGGAGGTACGGGTAGTGTTTAAAGTGAATAAGGATAAAACGTATCAATTGCATTCTTCATTCCCAACGTTTGTTAAAGTGAGCTACATAACATGCCATGAACATGTTGCATTGTCCAATATACACAGTAAGAATTTATACAACGTATGAATATTTCCTAATACTGAAATATATTTTTGGTCAGTCTTCATGTCAGTTCGAAGAATATTAATGACTTGTTCTACATTTATCATTTTGGTATTTTCCTAGATGCGGTCAGTTATCTTGAGCACTGCCAGATTGCAGCAAAGTTAGTTCGCCCGGACTATATGATTTGTCTGAGGCTCTAAGTCGTTTGCTGTTGTTACTACGAATGCCTGAAATCGCTACACCTATGCTATATATTTCTAAATTGATTTAGCATATTTATGAATTCAATTATTTTACCTCTTACGACATTTCAACCACAGCAAATGGACAGCGAAATTGCTATCGCTTCGTGAACTTTATCAAGCCTTCATTTTCGTCCCGATTTATCATGCTTTTTGCCTCAAATATATTTATGAATCGGTATAAGCTTTTGTGCTGTCTATTCCAGAATTTTGAGAGTTTCATCAGCCTTGTATTTACATCTATGTGCCGAAATTTTTGCCTCTCTTGCAATGCGCTCACTCGCAAATGGCCGCCATCTTGAATCATAAACTTGAAAAGGTACAGCCTGTTGATGGATTTCGGTGTCATGATTGATGACTGTCATCAGGTGCCATGTAACGCAGGTGATTATCAGCATCTCGAGCTGTATTGAGAAAACACAAAGAACGCAGGAACAGCCCAAATGCTTTGCGGATCAATATTGTTCGACTACATGTAAAATCTCACACACGATCGGAATTTCGGGGTCGCAGGTTTGATTCATGCTTGAGATCGTTCGCAGCTGCTCTACGTTTAGGTTTGAAAATTTCGATCTGTAAAAACCCATCAACCTATTGTTTCCATATTATTTATTCCTAACAAATGCTTGTTCAAACTCACATTTTCATCCGGAATGTTATTTCTTTGCTATTTTGTCTTCATCTGCATGTGAACCCATTTTATAATAAAGTTAATAATGTAGAGGCAGGTCTTCGATCCCAAGTACTTATATACACTATATACTATTTAGAACTTATATACTAGCGATATACTATATAATATATACTATTTGTTTAAACGTGCAATATTTATATATATATTTTTATTCAATATTTATTGTAGGTGTATGCAAGCAATATCCGAATTGTGGCCAGCTGTTCACTTAAGTGTTTATCATTCACTCTGTTGCTTCCGTCGTTAGATGTCCAATATCTTCTTTATGTTCCACAAGAAAGTTAATCATGATTTCGAGCAATCATCTTCTGTTTTCAGTTGTATTTAAATTTATCGCAATGGTGATTGGAGTTTTTGGAAATATCACAGTTATAATTTACACAATTTTCATAAGCAAAGAAAATACAGCGACGTCATACTTGGTTGGAAATTTGGCAGTGGCAGATCTTCTCGTGTGTTTAACATTTTATCCAATATGGATCATTGAATTTATACAGACAATATTAGACATTGATGGTCATCAGGTTCTGTTTTGTAAGTTAGGACGTTCCACGATCTGGGCATTTGTGCTTGCTTCTACCCTAACTCTTGTCGCCATTACTGTTGATCGATATTTATATATTGTAAAACCTCTAAAATATCCAATGATTGTGACTCGTCGCCGAGTTATTTTAACTATTTCTGGAATCTGGTTAATTGCTTGTTGTCTACTAATTGTGTTGCAATTTCACTACACGGATAGGCCATTAAGAAGCTATTGCCACGTACATAAAAATATTTTGTGGACAATGAATGTTTTCATTGGGTATTTTCCAGTTATTTTGATCTTTACCCTCAATTTACGAATTTTAAATGTGGCACGGAAGCAGCGAAAACGACTATTAGCTGAATCCTCGGCACTTGTTATTGTTAACAATTCCAACGAACAACCGTCGAAGAGACTAATTGGTATACTCCGTGTTATCGTCGTTTTGAAAGCAACAAAAACATTTTCTATTGTTGTGGCAGTGTTTGCCTTCTGTGTATTTATTCCGACTGTGGTTGGGATAACGCTAAAGTATTCTTGTAACAAGTCATGCCTCCATCTGTGGTTCGTAATTTTTCACTATGAATTTTATGGTGTAAACTCAATCGTGAATGCTTTCATCTACGGAATGAGGCATATCAAATACAGAAAAGCCTATAAGCATATTCTTTTAAAAATTATTTGCCATAATAAACGGAAAACTGACACTTCCATCACCTCTAGATGTTAAAGAAAGCAAGAATACGGGAACTGAGCTGCCAAAAACTGTCGTAACTCGATGAAATTTAGTCCAAAGAAGAACTAGCTTTACCACTTGAAAGAACAGCTTTGGGCAGATGTGTACATTATATAAACGAGCAAACCTACGTGTTAAGAGTAGCTGAAAACCAACCCACACAAACAAGTACGCTATACTGTACTGTTCTGTACTGTTCTGTACAGTTATATCATTTTAGCAATGAAATCGAAACTGAAATGTATATTATAGTAATTATTAAAATATTTTGTTTGTCTCCGACAAAATTCATGTTTGTTGTCTTTGTTTCACCGTTCACACTACTTGGCGGAAATTAATTAATAAAACTCTCTCTGAGCTTGTTTCCATTTCAGCAAAATCCTAAGACGTAGCTGTACGCTTTGCCAACAAATTCTGCTTATCTTCTGGCGTCTTTCTCAAATATTTTTCGTCTATTTTCGTTTTGTGTGGCGAGCCTTTCAGCACGTTTAGCATCTTGCAAATTTCTATTCTCGCCACTTGGATTTTTTTTTGAAGTCGTTGTTTTTCATAAATTTTGGTAAATATTTCTTTAAAAGATATTGTTTAGCTAGTGGGACATGACGGTTAAACTTGTGGCGTGATATATGGAAAAATGAAATATATTTATTTGCCAATCACGAGCTTGATAGAGAACATACAGTCAACTCCCTGTTTGTACTCGTGCATGCGCATAATGACTTCAAAAGGTGGCCAACGTCCAATGCCTATGACATAATGGAGTTGGCTTTGCAGTTCCCTTTGCTCCCTCATAGTAGGGTGTAGATATAGCCGAGCGGAATTATTACCCTCGCCCCTGGATTACACCCGGAATGGCGTTTCATGCCGGTGGCTTGGAACATTTTTTCAGCCTTTGAATCGGTACTTTCAGTCATCAGTCTTTATGTAATATATGAACAACGAGAGCGTGTGTTTCACCGGGATATCCAAACACGAGAAAACAACGTATGAAATGAGTTTTTGGACATCCCGGTGAGACACGAGCTCGAGTTGTTTATATGGCTTCTCAAATGAATCGAGACGTAACGGAATGTTTTCGTTTGCTGATTTGAATAGAATTCTTAACCAAGCATAACGTAATTAGGAATTTTATTCAAGTAATTTTTCATGCGTAATTAAGATATTATATGAAAACACTACTGACTTTCATCAAATATCTTACTACGTATGCGGCTAAACTCTTGTGGTGCTATGTCTGACGGTGTTTGACCGTGGTATCCAAACAGCATCTTGTGACGGAATGCTTACATACTATTCGCTTTATTACTCATGAATTATTAATGAATTTGAGATCGAACGTCATTTGAATGCTTGAAATTTTGCGCTGTTGCATGTCTTTCAAGTCGCTGTAGTCTGCCGTTGCATCTGATTGCATGGTTGATGGATTTCGCAGAGATTAATTTGGAGGTCAATATTGTCCAACTGTGTGTTAAAACTTATACACACGATTGGAATCGCGGGACGGCAGGTTTGATTCATGGTTGAGATCATATGTTTTATTTTTCGCAGCATGCATGCTCCCCGGCTAGCTCTGGAAATTTTAATCAACAAATACCCATCAACATATTATTTCGATATCACTTATGACCCACGAAGACCTCTCTATACTGACATTTCATCCAGACTGCTTTTCATTTGCAATTTTTTCTCTGTAAATCCATTGTTATAATACGTTATTCATAGAGACAGGCCTGTGATTCAAAGAACTTGTATGATTTTATTTTACTTCATATACTAGAAATACATGGATGCAACAACCCCTCGCCTATATATTCCAAACATTGTGTCAACATGAAGTATTCGTAGTTACGCCAACACTGAACGCAGGCTCGCGTTGCCACGTCATGTTAGTCATAGCAACACGATAATTGTTTTTTAATTTTTTGTGCAAACTGGGAAAAATAGATGAAATTTGAACACTTTTAAATACAGAACTATCAATTCCTAAAATATATAAAGTAGGTATAATATTTTGGCTTCTAATGGCTTTAATTTAATGTGAAATTCAAAACGATACTCTACGTAAAACGTTTTTAAATGTGAATTGAAATTAACTGCTTTTTGCCGATATTTATAAACTTCTCAATTCGAGCTTCAACTTAATTATTACTCGCACTTTGAAATGAAACAAATTTAATTCGTACAGGACGCTAATGAAAATAATTTTCTTTCGTTTTTATCATGAACTTCTACAAAAGTTAATTTAACTAAGAAACTTTCGCAAACAATGCATAGGAAAGATTTGAACATGAAGAACAAAGTCTATATTATTAAATACAAAGTCATTCATATACAATTGAAACAAGCTTGGCCTATACTTTAGGATTTATCATTCTTATCAATGTTTACGTTTAAAAATTTCAAAAAATTGTACAATTTGTTATGTGAAACGATTTTCCAAGCTTCCTTACATGTATTCTTTTATATTTTTTGCCTTCTTCACTCCTGGCAAACAGCCATATTTTGAGATCAGTGATGACCACCCACCCAACACTCCAACATCGTTGATAAGCGCCCGCGGTCATTGATGAACTTTAGACTTCGCTAATGCTTTCATTTCCCCGGGTGTAAATAGCCGGGGGGAATTAGTACCCTCGCACATCGCTTCGCGCCGTCGGCTCGGGGATTATTCGTTTATAAACGTGCAGCATATAGTTATATATTTGATTTATTCAATATTTGTTATAAGCTAAGTGCAATCAATATCCGAATTGTTTCCAGCTGTGCACTTTATCAGTTTATCATTCGCGCTGTGGCCTTCAATAGATGACCATTATCTTCTTCAATATCCTCCAAGAAATATAATCATGGTTTCGAAATTTGGTTTGGCAATATGACCGTTATGATTTATACAATTTTCGAGAGCAAAGAAAAGACAGGGACAATCATACTTGGTTGGAAATTTGGAACTGGCAGATGTTCTCGTGTGCTTATAATTTTATCCAATATGCATGATTGAGTTTATAACAACATATTAAACATTGATGGTGATCGCAATATGTTTTACAAGTTAGGATGTTCCACGACCTGTGCATTGCTGCTTGCTTCTACCATAACCCTCGCCGCCATTTATATTTTATTTTATGTTTTAAAACCACTAAAACATCCATCCAATTATTTCCGTGCGAATCTGAGAATTCACATGGCAAATTTCGATTGGGTACTAAATATAAACTTACAATCCTTTGGGAAGTACATGTATGTAGAAGAAAATAGTTAAAAAAATATTGTGAAATAAAAATAAAAGAAAATTTGAAGGAATAAAATTGGCAGCAATAAAACAGTAGGAATATTTCCAAGTCCTACGTATATTTATCACCAAAGTTTCGGGCACAAGTCCTGCACCATGGTTGCACAACTTTTCAAAAAATTAAAAAGTTAGCACTTTTCTTTTCTGTACGATTTGTATAGCACAAAACGCGTTGCCATGGGAGTTGTTGGCCCGGAATACATTGCTTAAAAAATGGTATATAAAGTAGACAACATAATATTATACAGACTTACACAGTTAATACACTTGTTTCGGATATGATTCTTGATGCCATGGATAGGAAAGAATTGACTGCAGTTGTGTTATTAGACTTGTCGAAAGCGTTCGATAGCATTGAACATGCATTGCTATTGAAAAAACTTCATTCTATGGCATGGGCGTGTCTAGGAAAGCTGTGGATTGGTTTAAGAGTTACCTCTCAGACAGAACTCAGTCTGTGAGGATTGATCATATACTATCAGAAGCTCGTGCGATAACACACGGTGTGCCTCAAGGATCAATACTTGGTCCAGCGTTATTTAGTATTTATATAAGCGTTATTTAGTATTTTTAGTATTTATACTACTCCCATTGTATGTCCTTTAGAATCGTATGTAGATAACTCTAAGATTTACTTGTCATTCTCATACAAAGACATTAATGAGATTCAGCTTACAGAAGATTTGAGGAGAATCGCTGCCTGGTGTTGCTCAAATAGCCTACTTGTCAATCCCGAAAAAATAACTTTGGTACAACACAAACGCTCAATCATGTGCAAGCAAGAATTTCGAGTGACTTTCCTCGAAAATGAACTACGACCGGTATCTTCAGACCGAGATTTGGGAATGGAATTTGATGAATGTCTGAGCTATGACGAGCATATTACCCACGTAGTTTCAAAATGTACAAATTCTCTTTGCCAGATTAATCGCGTTAAATATATTTTAGACAGCCGCACCTTGATTGTGATCATAAACGCCTTGGTCTTCAGCAAACTTTATTATTGTTCATTTGTGTGGGCAAATACGTCCATGAAAAATATTGCCAAACTACAATCTGCGCAGAATTTTGCTGCACGAAATGTCGCAGGCACGAGAAAGTATGATCATATTATACACCCGTGCTACAACAACTAAACTGGCTACCTGTTTCTTATATGCTGCAATATAAAGAAACTGTTATGGCTTATAAATGTCTTAAAGGATTAGCACCACCATACCTTGTAAGAAGATTCACACCTAGATCCCAGACACATGGTCGGGTGACAAGACCAATGGATGAATTAGATATCCCATTTTATCGGACAGCTGCTGATCATGCAGCGCTCTTTTTTATATAGAGCAACCAAATTATGGAATAATTTAGACAATAAAATTAAAGATAGTTCAAGTATTGGAGTTTTTATAAAACTAGTAAGAGAGATACTGCATAAAGAGTGCTGGAACAACTCAAAATAATTTATATTTTAGAATATTATCAATAATTGATTTATTATACCCGTAAACAAATGTACGTATATTTTGATATATTAGTATTTATTATATGGACAATGGTGTTTTACTGGAAACTAAAACACTCGTAGATCTCATACGTCACTACATCCGGGACCAGGTGCGCGTATTTTCCGTATTTCACCCCTGCTAGTGACATACGAAGTTCGAAAATTTCCCGCCATTTTCATTGTTGTTGTTTTTGAAAATACAAATGGTCTTTAGTTCGTACTTCAAACGAAATTAACGTTGGAAATAAAACGAAAACATTTAAAAGACATCTTCAGATAAGTAAAATTTATTTTAGTTTTATGTTTGCACTTTAATTTTAAAAAATATCGCTTTTATACTGGTCTTTCGCGTGCTTATTTACATGTTGTCTTTGTATGTATTTTTGTCACTCTGAGTAAGTCCATATAATAAACAGAACATTAAACGGTTGCGAGAAGATATGGATTTATGTTCTCGTGTCAAAAACAATATCTCACTCGTTCGCTGCGCTCACTCGTGAGATATTGTTTTTGCCACTCGAACATAAAATCCATATCTCTTCGCAACCGTCTAATATCCTCTATATATAGGTCTTCTAATAAATTCATGTTAATACGTATTTCATCTTCATTTTACGATTGTAATTATTTCTGAAAAGTCATTTTGGAGAAATAAATTAATAA